AGACTCAGCACCCCCAGGCTCAGCACCCCCAGGCTCAGCACCCCCAGGCGTAGCACCCACACGCTCAGCACCCCCAGAGTCAGCACCCCCAGGCTCAGCACCCTCAGCAGCACCAGAGTCACCAGCGACCTCGACAGGCTCAACAGCGTCTACCTGGGACACACCTGAAGGGGCAGGACCCTGAGGGGGGAGGGGGTCTACCGGGGGGGGACCTGGTACAAGGAAGAGCGGTGGCGGGGGGAGGGACGGAGTGCGGTAGGGGAAGAGGCGGTAGTAGGGGACCGACTTGTCGAACGTGACGTCCTGGGAGGACAGAACACGGCGAGAGGTGGGGTGGTAGAACTGCCACCCTGGGGCGTCAGGGGGGAAACCCAGGAAGACGCAAGGAGCAGCACGAGGGGACAGCTTGTCCGCAGACAAGTCGCGGACAAACGCCCGAGATCCCCAGACACGGAACGCAGACGCATCGCCAACCTTCCCCGTCCACAGCAAAGCTGGGGAGGTCTCCGGCATGGAGACCCTGGGCTGAAGGTTGATCTGATGCGCCGCGTACCGAACCGCAAACGGCCACAGAAAATGGGGGGCAGCCGCATGCATCATGGACGTACGGGCGACGTCCATGACCATGCCAATGCGGCGCTCAGCAATCCCATTTTGCTGTGGAGAGTCCGGAAGCGTGAAGGTCTGGCGGATGCCTCGTGCACGACAGTAGGCTCGCAGAAGGCCAGAGGAGAACTCTCCGCCTCTGTCAGAGTGCAGACGCAGAACAGGAAAGTCCGAGCCAAAGCTCCGCCTGAGCTGGAGACGAGCTGCGCGGATCCAGTCGATCAACACCTCAGTGACATCACCCTTGCTGCACAAGGGGAAGACTGTGGTGCAACGCGAGTAGTCGTCAACCACCAGCAGGAAGTAGCGCTCGTGACCCTGTCCACGGACGCGGGCCGGGCCCCACACGTCCATGTGAAGCGTCTGCAGCGGGGCCTCTGTCGGAGGAAACTGGGAGGAGTGAGGGGTAGCCCGCTGCCGTCCCTCGACACAGGGGACGCAGTTAGGGCCTGGCCCCGGAGGAAGGGGAGGGAGGGACCGGGGAAGACCAGAGACAAGGACACGGGAGGCCATGCTCCGGAGACGAAGCAGGGAGGGGTGGCCAAGGCGGTGGTGCCAGAGGAGAGTCTCGTGAGACAGGAGGCGACACGAGCAGGGGGCAGACTCAGGACCAGACCTGGACGCTGCAGCAAACACCTGACCCGACGCAGCTACCTGACCAGACGCAGGGACTGGAGGAGACGCAGTGGTCAGTGTGTACAGGCTCGACCCTGGCCGACGTGTAAACGTGGCCAGGTGGCGGCCTGTCCGAGCGTCCGTGCAGTGGGTCACCCGCTGACTCGCAGGAGTGAACTGGTGAACCCCCGCATCCTGTAGGTCAGCACCACTCACCAAGTTCGTAGAGAACGAGGGGAGGTAGAGACCAGACACGGTGCCAGAGGGGGCCGCCGGACACGGGAGGACAGTGGAGAAGTGAGCAAGGACAGGACCCCCAGAGGGGTCTGCCAGGGAGACCGCAACTGGCCGGCCAAGCGGCGTGAGTGTGGTGCGGTCTCGAAAGAAGGAGCGAGAAGCCCCCGAGTCAAGTGTGAAGGTGTGGGAGGCCGAAGCCGACGCAGAACCTGAGAGAGCAGACTCACCAGCACCTGAGGGAGCAGACGCACCTAGAGCAGCAGCCTCGCTAGCACCTAGAGCAGCAGCCTCACCAGTACCTAGAGCAGCAGTCTCAATGCCCGGGTCGGGCGGAAAACACCGGTAACAGTCACCCTCATCACTAATAGTCACAGTATACACGGCAGCAAGAATAGCATCAAAGTCAAGGTCAAAGACAGCTACACCCGCCCTAGACAGCTCACCCCAGCGGGGGATCTCAGTGGCCTCAGGGAACTGGTGACGCCAAGCGTCCGTGAGGCGGCCAAAGCAGCGCTGGGTGGAGTGCGCACCCCCGCACTGCTCACCCGCGCGGTCGCCGGTGCGCAGGACGTAGGTGCACGGACCAGCACCCCCACCCCTCTGGCGTGCAGTGTACCACTCACGGAGCTGCTGAGGGGAGGGGACGTCACGAGTGCGCTGCTGCTGCTGCTGCTGCTGCTGCTGCTGGCGCTGATCACCACCGGAGCTGACCCTCTGCGCAGCGCCACCCCGACCAGCTCCACCTCCTCCGCCGCCTCCTCCTCCACCGCCGCCACCTCCGCTCCCTCCGCCACCGCCGCTGCCTCCTGCGCCTCCACTGCCGCCACCGACACCTCCACCCCCGCCACCACTCCCACCGCCACCCCCACCTCCTCCACCACCTCCACCGCCGCCTCCACCGCCCCCGCTAGCTCCTCCAGCGCCCCTGCCCCCCTTGCCCCTGCCAGGGCGGCGTCTCCCGCTAGGGGTAGACGCTGCCCCAACCGACTCCAAACCAGCGAGGTCGGCCGCAGCAGCAGAGGCAACAGAGGGCAAAAGAGGGGAGGGGGAACACCCCTCAAAGATGGGGGTGCGAGGGTCACCACGAGAGGCTCCTACAGCGACTATGCTCTTTTTTGCTGCTAGGAGGGCCTTCTCGAGGAGGTCAACGGTGAGAGTGGTGGGACAAACCGAGAGGAAGTGGTCCCTGACTACGCGAAGGGAGTCAGGGAGACGGGTGACTATGTAGTAGAGGGTGATGTACATGGGGGGGGGGTTCTTGGCGCAGAACTCAGCAGGAAGCGCAGCGCGGTAGCGAGTGTCACTAGAGCGGAGGTGCGTAATGAGGTCAGCGACTGTGGGAAAGGCAGCAAGGTCAGGGAAGAGGTACGGTAGCATGAGGCGGCTCAGTGCAGCAGTGGCAGGGGAGGAGTAGCGTGCAACTACAGCGTCGTACAAGGTCTGAGCACTCTTGTACTGGCTAAAGTGCGCACGCTCAGAGGTAGGGAGGTGGCGACGCACAGCAAGACGTGCAGCAGCATCGCGCGTGGCCCACTGTGAGCGAACGGTGGCGTCCGCATCAGCAGCGGGGGCAGGAGAGGCACCAGAAGTGAGGTCAAAGAGGGAGAGGCCGTCTGCTCTGTCGCACTGTAAGAAAAGCTGCAGGTCATCTATCCAGACGTCAAAGTCAATGGCCCGACCCTCAGCGTCAAAAGCGAGGACACTAGGGGTAGCCATGACAGCAGTAGACTAGCAGTGCAAACAGTAGGGCGAGGGCAGTGCTGTGAGAGAGGCGCTGCTCTTACCGGACAGGGCGGTTCGGGCGGCTCGGCTGCAGGGCGGCTCGGCGGCTCGGCGGCTCGGCGGCTGGGCGGCTCGGCGGCGGGGCGGCTCGGCTGCTGGGCGGCTCGGCTGCGGACAGGGCGGCTCGGCGGCTGGGCTGCTGGGCGGCTGGGCTGCTGGGCGGCTCGGCTGCTGGGCGGCTCGGCGGCTGGGCTGCTGGGCGGCTCGGCTGCTGGGCGGCTCGGCGGCTGGGCGGCTTGGCTGCTGGGCGGCTCGGCGGGGCCGTTGAGAGGGCGGCGTCCGGGGCCGCTGGGAGGAGGCGGCGGGGCCGCAAAGGTAAGTGGCGGGGCCGCGGAGGTAGGTGGCGGGGCCGCACAGTGAGGTGGCGGGGCCGCGAAGGTAGGTGGCGGGGCCGCACAGGTAGGTGGCGGGGCCGCGGAGGTAGGTGGCGGGGCCGCACAGTGAGGTGGCGGGGCCGCGAAGGTAGGTGGCGGGGCCGCACAGGTAGGTGGCGGGGCCGCGGAGGTAGGTGGCGGGGCCGCACAGTGAGGTGGCGGGGCCGCGAAGGTAGGTGGCGGGGCCACACAGGTAGGTGGCGGGGCCGCACAGGTAGGTGGCGGGGCCGCGGAGGTAGGTGGCGGGGCCGCGGAGGTAGGTGGCAGGGCCGCACAGTGAGGTGGCGGGGCCGCGAAGGTAGGTGGCGGGGCCGCGGAGGTAGGTGGCGATGGGCGCGACGGGCGCGACGGGCGCGACGGGCGCGACGGGCGCGACGGGCCGAAAGGGCGGCGCGACTCGGGCCGGCGCAAAACGCGCTCCGGGCAGAAAAAAAAAATTTCCGTGGTGGTGGGCCCTAGGAATCGTTCCCACTAGGGAACCTGCTCGATACCATGAGAAGAAACGAGGAATGAGAATGACTAAGTGAAAGTTGGGTACAAGAAGCAAACCCTAGAAAACTGTACCCCATATGTGCTACCCCACTATAGCCTACAGTAGCTATGTCATATAAATCTGACAATGCTTTGCCATGCTTGCTGTTGATGCTTGCATAGGTACTCATTAGCTTCATCTCGGAGGTATAAATCAGGCGTTCGTCGCTGTGTTGTCCATTTTAGCTTGGTTTTGTACCTCACCAGGCAAAAGAGGTGGGAGAGAGCATGAGGCAGAGTGAATCGCGAATGACGCTCGGTATCAGGCGAACGTGGTTACCTCGCCCCGCCCGTAGGTTCGGGTCACAGGCGATGCGTGATGGTGCCAAGGGTGAAGTGCGGGCAACGCCCCAGAGAACAGTCAAATGCACAGAGCTGTACGCGGTACTGAGAATGGTGAAGTTTGGAAGTGTGAAATTCTTATATCTTCAGCTGGTCACCGTCCCGCTTACAACAGAAAAATCTGTGCCAAAACTGAATCCCCAACGTAGCATTTCACGGACGAGAATTACAGAAATACGCTGATGATTTAGTCAGGCCCAACAGTGCAACGCCCAACACAAGGTTTATTGTATCACAGAAAGTATGGCACGCAAGCAAAACATACAATACAGAAACGAACCCACATCCCTGACAAGCAGGGCCTTCTCTGAAGCACGGCCACTGCCACTCACACCTTATTGGTAACAAACAGGGCAAATCACCTCCGTATATACTGTACTAGCACGCCGCTTGGATGCGTACGCACTATTAAATATACTTGTATAATGCTGCCAGCCCACCGCAGCACAGAATGTTAAGGGAGGAAGTGACTGTCCTCAAACTGAGACTAAGCATTTGAAGATCAAGCGTGTCTTAGACTAAGCGTTGGCGCTTAGCCAAGTGCAGATGCTCCTCCTCATAGCTGTGGGAGTCCCACTGGTGCAGACCGTCCATATCCTCATGCGAAATCCATGCTGGCACTCCCATGCACAGATCCGCCACGTCAGCATGCCACATGGGCGCCAGGTCACCATCTCCTGTAGCAACCACTTCACTGTTCGCGCTAGGGCAATCATTGGGCCCGTTATTCTCCACCACAGAAACTCCGCTGTTATTTTCACCTGCGGCTGCGACTTCCGAATCCGGAGCACCTGAAGAACCACCTGAAGCCGGCTCCCAGGGTGCAAGCAGGGACTGCCAGTCGATATCTTGTGCAGCTAACTCCTCCAAAGACTCCCCTTCTTCCGCGGATTTCCCCCCTCCGAGCTGCGCCGCGCCCCGCACGTCATGGGTGGCGGAGAGAAACAAACCCGCACAGCCCTCCATCCCCCCATCTCCAGACAGCTTCCCCTTCGCATCCGCCACGTCTTGCAGAATCACCTGAGGTTTCACCTGATCGCACTCGTCAATGTCGCCTGCCAGGAAGGCGAGCGGACAGAAGGCGTCTTCCGGCGAGTCGTTGCCTCCGCGCGCGGAATGCGCCTCGGGCGGAGACAAGGGCTGCGCGGGCGCGTGCACAGGCGCATGCGCCGGCACATGCGCGGGCGCATTGCCAGCCTGTGCGACTGGCGGAAGCGGAGCGACCGGATTGCACTGAGGCCCGTTGAACGCGGAAGGAGCTGAGGCGGAGCATGACGTTCCGGGGAAGGACGGTCGCGCCAGGAACGGCGCAGGCGTTTCCGCCGTCGCCTGTACCATCGGCTGCGCAGGTGGCGTGGAGGGGGGAACTGCAGGCGCGCGGGGAAGCTGTTGGGCCTTCCGCCATTGCCCCACCAGCTGCTCCGCAAGCCTATTGGTGGGGGACGCGGAAAATGGCGGGGGAGGCGCAACGGAGGCGGATGCGCAAGATCCAAGCTGGAAACCGGCAGATGAACCAGTTAACGGTTTATTGCTTGATGCCCGAGCCGCAGCCGCATTGCCGCTTGCCGCCCCACCCGCCGCAAGAGCCGGCGCAAGAACATTCGTTAACCAATCATTGAGCGCCGTCTCCACCTCCGCCGCGGATGGCGACGCGGCGGCAGCAGCTGCAGGGGGGGAAGCGGCTCTCTTTGCGCGCCTAGCGAGAGCTGCTTTGCGCGAAGAGGAGAGGTGAACGGCGGGGATATCCGTTGCGCCATTCGCTGCGCCATTCGCGGCATTCGGCGGAAGAAGCAAGGGCGACACCGCCGTAAAGGACGGCGGCGATCCGCTTGCTTTCCGCGGAGTCTCGACCGCCGCGCCCACCCACGAAGCGCTCCGCGGACTCGCGGCTTCGGCCACCGCTCCCCCCCGCCCGCCGTAGGAGCAACTCCCAGAGGAGGGGCTGGCTAGAGGCGGAATAGGCACCGGCGCTGCGTGTCTGGCGCGGCGGGAGGTTGCGCGGGCGGGGGAGGGGGCCTGCGCGGAGAGCTGCGGGGGGAGCTGCGCGGACGGCTGCGCGGAGAGCGAGACGGAGAGCTTCTTCGCCGCGGCGAAAGGCTTGCATCCGTTGGTAACCGTCACGGCGCTGTCGCCTTCCGACGTGGACGACGAGGGGGTGGCGGGGGAGAGCGCCCACGGCGCGGGGCACGCGGGGAGAGAGTTGGCGGAAAAACCGCCGCCGGCGGAAAGCCCGCTGCTTTCCGCCGCCGCGCAGTCGGGGCTCCACTGGTGGTGCGCAGATGAGCGGATCTTGGCCGCCTGGCGCAACGCCTTGGCCCAATCGAGCGCCATGTGATTCAAACTGACGGAATGCCGCTGTTGAGAATTCTCAATCGTGACGGAATGCCGCTGCGACACCGACTCGGTAGCGTCGTCGCTGGTGTTCGAAAGAAAATGGCTGGGCTGTGGATGCTGAGTGGCTGGATGATAATTAGCTGCAATGTTTGTTGTGCTTCAATGGCGGATCCAAGGCGTTCCGATGGAAGGTTGCGAGATTAGCTAATCGCAACACCGCCGCTCCACCATGTAGCGAGGAGGAGTGGACAGGGGAAGGGAGGAGGTCGAGAATCGAGATGTGGTGGATGATTGGAGTGGGGTCAGGTAGTGCGTGGACTATGGTAACCGGGAAGACAGGGCAGAGCGAACAAGAGCTAGCAGCCTAGCACTGGCCTAGAAAAAATGCCCGGGAGGCAGGGAGAGAAGAAGATGAAAGCTCGGATTAGTGGAGAGAGGCAAGGCAAGAGAGCAAGAGGGAGGGTGAGGGAGAGGAAATGCGTGGCGGGTAGGGGCAAGGGGCTACTGTGGCCAAAACTGGCTGCCCTGGGAATTTGGTTCGCTGGATCTGGTTGGTCCGCGCTGGCAAGTACAGCCCCCGTCGCCGACGGGCAACCAGCGAGCCCCACTTCCGCCTTCCGCCAGTCGCGGATGCGCCTCCTTTGGAGGATTTCCCCACCCCGAGGTTGAGCTAACAAAAACGCGGTTCGTCGGAGCTGGAGAAATTTCAGGGGTTTCCCCAGAGCAGCTGTCTTGCGGGGAGAGCGCTGGATGATGGTAGTGCTGGAAACGACAAAGCGGCAAACCCTTGGCTGAGCCCTGGGTTTTGGCGCTCGCGACCGCGCGGGGACCTGGTTTGGTTTCGGTTCGGGCAGGGCATGGCCGTGGCGGACACTGCAGTGCTCTCACGGATGCCCCGATTCTTTGAAGTGGAAGAACCCGCCTTCCTCCAATGGACGTCGTTCTTGACATCGAACTTGACGTCAACCTTGTGTTGGAAGGGCGATCTCGGGCAGAAAATAACCGTGTACAAAACTTGTATTCTATCTTACTGTGGCCTGGGAGTGGCAGAGTTGGAAACAGTGAATTATATCTGTTCAACGCTGCATTCTTGAACTCATTACCTCGTCATGTTCAGCACTGTTCTGTCCCAGCAGGGTGATTTATGAAACGAACCAGAACCTTCTGGGTGGACCTGCGCACAAGACTGATTAAATAATAGTTTCAGAATCTGAATGGAACAAGGGAGGCAGGTGCCGGACACAATGCACAGCTGCTACTCGGCCAATATACTTGGACGATCGGAAATGGCTATGGTGGAGAGGGGAGTCAGGACCACGCCGAGAACTGTGGAGCGCAAAGAATTCATGCGGGCAGCCAGACCAGATGCCTAGGGCCTTGGAAAAGGAGCCCATTGGCGGATGGGTTCTGTTCTTGAAACCTAGATCTACGGACACGAGGCGTGTTCGCTAGGACAGCAGCATTACGTGGCACGGGATGCAGTCAAACAGAGGCCAAACAGTTGTTTCCATAAAGGACATGCTGATGTGGGGCACGCTGGTTCCTCGTTAACTTTCGGGCAGCAAGGGCGAAGTGGATTTTTTTCCCCTCGATTCCCGCAGAGGGCAACAAGATCCCCGAGTGCATTGCGGCAACGCGGATCCTTCCTGAAGCACTGTAGACCAGCCGAGCATGTTCTGCCCTGTCCAGAAATGGCATTTATGATTTCGCATGCGTTTCGCAAAACAGTTGCGGGCCTGCGGGACTAGCTCAGGCTCCCTGTCAGGGATCTCCTCAGGTGATGGTGCATTGTAAAAAATCGGCGGTGCACAATCATTTGCAGGGATGGTGCTTGCGTGGCGGCACCAGCGAGAAACTACCACCCCACTTGCACACCACGAACCAGCACAAACAACCACAACTCTGATCGAAGTAACGACTTGTACACTTTAGCCAACTAGCATTAGCTACACCGGCTATAAGTTTATCTACTGCTCTAACTAGAGGCAAACAATTTATCGTAGCATCATTTTCCACACCATCAAACATGGAGTTTCCTTACGCATATATATCGAAGTGATCCACAAAATACATGGGGGCTCGAAAAATATGGAACTAGGTGCAAACACGAATGATTCACAACCTATAACTCATCCTCCATATAATAATCCACTTGACTATCCAACAGCTCAGAGGAATAAAGTTTCACCACTGGCATATGAGCCGTCCTCATCCAACCGAAGTCCTTCACCATAAGCAACCCAAACGCAATCAGCAGCATCAGCAGCACCAATCCTGGCCCATACGTAAGCAGCGCCGTTCTTTTAACAGGGGTAAATGCCCCTAGCAGCTCCGATTCCTCCTCATCTCCTCCGATTCCATCCCCTTCAACACCACCACCATTATCACGCCCCTCCTCATTGTCACTTTGGCTACTGTCACTGTCAGCAGAAGCACCTGTATCCCCAGACAGAGCAGCTGCTGCCTTCCTTGCCGCCCGCCGCACAGCTCTGCTTGTTGCCTGCGACAATGCCGGTGGATTACCACCGCCCCCACCAGCGCTCGTAGCACCACCAGCAGCAGAAGCAGCAGCGGCAGCAGCATCAGCAGCAACGCTTGCAGCACCAGCAGCACTAGGAGAGGGGTCATGAGCTGTCAGACTCCCGGGCTTGCGGTCAAACCAGCCGCCCAGCTCTCTGCGCTGCCGACCCTCCGCTTCCTGAAGGTGAAGGGGGGAGGGGCAAGCAGGAAGGAGGTGGGGAGGGTGGTGCTGTGAAGGATGCACTCGTAGCAACAGCAGCAGCAGCAGCAGCAGCAGCAGCACTAGCAGGGTGGGGGTCATGAGCTGTCAGACTGCCTGGCTTGCGGTCAAACCATCCGCCCAGCTCTCTGCGCTGCCGACACTCCGCCTCCTGAAGCCCAAGAGAGGAGGGGCAGGGACGCGGGAGGTGGGAAGGGAAGTGGCGCTGTAAGGAATGGAAGGGAGGCTTCAAGGTTATAATGGGACAGGGAGGTATCACACACACCTGAGGTGGATGCATGTGTCACCCAACCCCTCAACACGGCCGATCCTCTCACCTCTCCAAAGTATATAACCTTTGCCAAACCTACCACCTTTGCCAAGCCTCCCACCCCTGCTGAGCGTCCCATCTCTTCCGAGCCTCACCACTGCCAAACTTCTCACCTCTTCCGAGCCTCGCCACTTCCGACTGACCTCGTCCGAACCTCACCACTTCCAAACTTCTCACCTCTTCCAGACCTCTCACCTCTTCCATCTTCTTGAGCTTGGCGAGAGCAGCAGTAGCATCCGCCTGTGTCGATGGGTCTGCCTTCACCATCTGTAGCACACACCACATGGCAGATACAGTACGAGGTGTACGGAAAAAACAGGAAAACGGCACTTGTCAGAAAACGAGAAAAGCAAAAATAAAAGCCAATACAGAACAGGACACAAGAAAGATGTCAGAAATTTGAACATTTTCCGCCGGATAGAATGTCAAGAACATTTGACTTTTGGGTCGACTCAAAAAGCAACAGGGACCACCAGAAAGATGTCAGGTTTTTATTTTTTACGTTTTCCGCCTGATATAATGCCAGGAACATTTCAGGATCCCAAGGCCTTACAAAAGGAAGTTGATATTTTGGTGCACAAAGTGCTCCGCAGTGACAACGACAAGTCCACAGAACACTGCATACTCGTTCTAAGCCCTCCCCGCAGTGAGCATACCCTTTGGAGGTGGGCCGGGGGCCCTCCCCGCAGCTTCGTCAAAAGCAGCGGAGAGTGCGTGTGAGGCAACGCTCTTGTGACAAGAATCGACTCAAATGCAGCCCGAGGTGAGATTTTGAGTCAACTCGAGATTCATACCCGTTGGAGGTCGGCCCTGGCTTCATCAAAGGCAGCGGAGTGCATGTGAGCCAGTGCTCTCCGGTACAGCGCCTTTGAGTGGTTGGGCTGCTCTGTGAGCACCTGGGAGGAAGAGGGACGGGTGAGAAAAAAGCGCGGAGGAGCGTGATGAAGAGAGTAGCAAGGAGATGCCTTAGGGTCCTTGTAGAGCGCCTCAGAACCAGAGCGCCTTGTAGTGGTTTGGGCTGCTCTGTGAGCACCTGGGAGGGAGGAAGAAGTGCAGGCGAGGAAAAGCACCCGGGAGCGCGAGGAACGGAATGAACAAGCAGGGCGCGCGAGGAGAGAGAGGGCGGAGCTGCAACACGGTGACTCGACATCCAACTCAATTGAGCCACCTCAAGGTGTTCCTCAAGGGACACCCAATACTTCCAGCAATCTCTCACCTTGTCCGCCCACTCTATAGCCCGCGCATACTCCCCCATGCCGTGCTGACATGCTGACGTGCTGGTATGGCATCATGCCAGCAAGCCATGCTGACATGCTCAGGGCATCTCACCTTGTCGGCCCACTCTATGGCCCGTGCATACTCCCCCATGCCGTGCTGACATGCTGCCACGTTCAGCTGCAGAGCGGTCTGCAGGGAGGGAGGGAACGACGGGGTTGACGGAGCAGTGAGAGAGAGAGGATGAGGGGTGGCATGGTTGGGAAGGGAGAGGGGATGAGGGACAGCCTTCAGCCCGTGCTGACATGCTGCCACGTTCAGCTGCAGAGCGGTCTGCAGGGAGGAAGGGGATGATGATGGGGTTGGGAAAGGGAGAGAGCGGGGATAAGGGATGGTGTGGTTGCGGAAGAGAGAGAGAGAGCGTGGGGATAATGGACAGCCTACTGCCCTTGCTGCATGTCTAGTTGCATTGCTTTGCATGCCTAGGATGATTTTTTACTGCTAGGACCTGCACCTACCATGCTTGTACCTGTTTGCACATCAATGAAGGACCGCTTGAGAGCGTGGGGATAATGGACAGCCTACTGCCCTTGCTGTCATGCTGCCCCGTTCAGCTGCAAAGCTTTCTGGCCCCCTCCCATGCAGCCTCCCCACTCCCTCACCTGCCCTGCCCCACACTGCCCTGCCCTCACATTCTCCCCTCACCTGGCACCTCGTCCTACCTCCACACTCCCCCTCACCTGCCCGGAGTTGAACTGCTTTTCCTCCTTGCGCCGCCCCCACGCCCCTCCTGCCCCTGTCACCCGCCCCATCTGCTGCACACTGTCCCCGCCCCACCCTCACCTGCCCCACACTCTCTCCCCCCCTCACCTGCCCCGCACTCTCTCCCCCCCTCACCTGCCCCACACTCTCTCCCCCCCTCACCTGCCCCGCACTCTCTCCCCCCCTCACCTGCCCCGCACTCTCTCCCCCCCTCACCTGCCCCACACTCTCTCCCCCCCTCACCTGCCCCGCACTCTCTCCCCCCCTCACCTGCCCCGCACTCTCTCCCCCCCTCACCTGCCCCACACTCTCTCCCCCCCTCACCTGTCCCACACTCTGCCCCGCTCACCTGCACGGAGTTGAACTGCTTTGCCTCCTCGCCCTCCTTGGGATGCACGTGCCTCATCTCCCGCAGCAGCTGCTCAACAAACGAATGGTACCAAGTGGTGGAGAGCGGTGCAAGGCAGAAAGCTTTGGCGCACAACTGAACTCCCCAACAGACTCAAAAGGGCACTCAAAAGAGCCAGCAGCTTCAGCCGCAAACTTAGGAGTGAGTTTTTGAGACGCCTAGAGAAGAGAGCGGTTCGGTGCAAAGCAGCGCGACAGCCAACGGAGTCAAAATTACAAGTGGATGGATGGAAGGTGCAAGATTACGAGTGAGCTTTTAAAACGCCTAGAATGAACGAGCGGTTTCGTGCCAAGCAGTGCAACAGCCACCGGAGTCAAAAGGCCACTTAGTATAGCCAGTCAGCAGCCTACGCCGCATCACCACAAGTGGAAGGCAGCATGCAAGGCTGGCCCTTACTTACCCTATCGTACTTGCTGCATGCGTGGCTGTACTTCCTCTCCTTGTACAGCGTGTTCCCCTGCAGGCAGTGCGGTGGGATGTGGTGGGACGGGATGGGATGGGATGGGATGGGATGGGATGGGATGGGATGGGATGGGATGGGATGGGATGGGATGGGATGGGATGGGATGGGATGGGATGGGATGGGATGGGATGAATAGGAAATGATGGGTCCATCAAGTCAAGATTGAAACCAAGCGAAACCGATCCCACAGGAAGACCAAGTTAAACAAACCCCACGGGTCAAGCACAGTAGAAGGCACCGTGACAGTTAGAACCAGTCGCAACCCCAACCAGCTGCCTGCCAGCCTACAGTCAACCCTAACGTGAATCCTTAAGTGAACCCTAAAGTGAATACTTAAGTGAACCCTTAAGTGAACCCTGAAGTCAACCCTAAGACCTGTTGCAACCCGTACCAGCTGCTTGGTTTTGTCAATTTCAGCGAGAATCTCTTCAAACGACAGCCCCTCCCAGCCCTGCTCTCACAACACAGCCATGGGGGATAAGGATCAGGGTTTTAGATTTGTAGGTTTAAGGTTTTAGAGAAGGACACAGGAGGCTAGTGGAACTATCTCTTCAAACGGAAGCCCCTCCAAGCCTTGCTCTCACAGCCATGGGGGTGGGAGGGAGAGGGGGTGATGAGAAGAGGAGTGAGAGCGGAAAGAGGGGGAAACAGGACGAGGAGGAAGCGGAAAGACAGATATGGGGAAAGAGAAGAGAGAGGGGAACGAAAGGGAAAGAGGGTAACAGAGAGCTCGAATGCGAAAAAAAAAGGATCACTTTGGTTCTCTTCAGTTTCTGCAAATTCTCCAAATAGATTGGCTCACCTTGGGCCGCCGCTCGAATCCAAACAGCTCCACCTCCCACAGCACCCTTGCACCCTTCCCACACCAAAGTGAGCCCACTCGCCCCACTTGTGTGCGAGAGGAATGCGTGGCGTGGCTATACCCCCAGACCCAGGATTGCTGATCAGGCAACTGCCATGCCACCATACGTTCGCACCCTTGCATCCTCGCACTCTGCAGAACCAGATGTGAGGGCAAGGCTCACCTTGGGGCGCTCGAAGCCAAAGAGCTCCACCTCCCACTGCACCCTCGCACCCTTTCCTGACCAATGAAAGCCCACTCGCCCCATTCGTACCCTCCTGCCCTGCCACTGCTCATGCATGCACATGCCACCACATGTGCACTCACCTTGGGCCGCTCGAAGCCAAACAGCTCCACCTCCCACTGCACCCTCGCTCCCTCCGGCATCCCCTCTGGCCTGACAGGGAAATCATGGTGTGGCATGGGATGGCGTGGGATGGGATGGCACGGGATGACATGGCATGGCGTTGCACGAAATGGCAAAGGATGGCTTGGCATGAATGAACACACACATAGGTGCGTTTTGGTGCGCTCTGACAATGTTGAGGCAAGTTTCGAGGCGTCTCAAAATCGAGACCTTTTCCTAAACTGCAGCAGCTCTCCCAGTCTTCATGGCTCACTTCAAAAAGTAGGTGCGTTGTCACAATGTTGAGGCTCCTAAAAAATCGTGACATAGGAGGGCTTGGGATGAGCACAGACAAGGTGACTTTTGAGTCGACTCAAATGAGCACAGACAGGGGTGCGTTCTGGGCCCTGGCAACGCAGTCGCCGCAAGACAAGTGCCTGTCACCAAGCCTCACCTGGGGAACGGGTCATAGACATATTGCGCCCGTGTATTGCCTAGTGCTGCCCTGCCCTGCCCTGCCCTAACCTGCCCTGCCCTGCCCTGCCCTGGGCTAGGCACATTGGTATTCGCACCTGGGGAAGGAGTCGTAGGCGTATTGCGCCGTGCTTGAAACCAGGGCCACCTCTCCCGGCAGCATCAGGCGAATGCTCGCCTCCAGGGCCTCTGGCAGCTGGCGGTGAGGGGCAGGGGGAAAGAATCAGACGGAGGGGAGGGAGATACGTCAATTTTTGAGTCAACTCAAGCATGCTTGAAACAAGGGCCACCTCTCCCGGCAGCATCAGGCGAATGCTCGCCTCCAGCGCCTCTGGCAGCTGGTGGAGAGGGACGGGGAGAACGGGCAGGAGACACGTGAAGGACTGGGAATCTGGTCCGATGTGCCTCAAACAAGCATGCTTGAATTTTGAGGCGCCTCAAAACTCAAACAAAGCATGCTTGTCTCAAGGGCGTGTAAGGGCTGTGGGGCAGCGAGTGGGCAAGAGGGGAGAGAGCGTGGCGTGGCATTCCTGAACAAGAAGAAGTGGAGATGGAGTGGCTCAGCACAAGAAGAAGTGGAGATGGAGTGGCTCAGCACAAGAAGAAGTGGAGATGGAGTGGCTCAGCACAAGAAGAAGTGGAGATGGAGTGGCTCAGCACAAGAAGAAGTGGAGATGGAGTGGCTCAGCACAAGAAGAAGTGGAGATGGAGTGGCTCAGCACAAGAAGAAGTGGAGATGGAGTGGCTCAGCACAAGAAGAGTGCCCTCTTCTTGCCTCGCCCTCGTCCCATTTCTGCGAGCCCATAAAGTCCCCCCCACCTCCCCACATCCCACATACAACAGGATGACCCTCACTCATCCCGCATCTCCTCTGCACCGGGTGCTCCTCACCCAGGTCCCCCCTCTTGTTCCCACTCAACCTCCCCTCCTACTCACCCTGCCTTCCCCAGTGCCGATTTGAAGAGGCTCTCCCTCGCCCTCGCCTGCTTCCCCTTTCCGCGTGTCCATGAACTCAACACCCCCCTGGTCCGGCAGAGTGCCACGCATGTGCACGTGCACCACACAGTCCTGCAGCGGACAGTCCATGGGGAAGTCGCCTGGAGAGGGGAGAGTGCAGGGGGCAGGGGACAGGACGGAAGCAGGGAGCAATGAGCAGCTCCTCTCCCCTGGTACAACAGTGGGCCCCGCATGTGCACGTGCACCACACAGTCCTGCAGCGGACAGTCCATGGGGAAGTCGCCTGGAGGGCAGGGAGAATGGGGCGTGGAGTCAGAGGGAGGGAGGGAGGGAGGGAGGGTAGCGAGGGATGATTGCAATGCAGTCCATGATTTCATCCCCCCCTCTCTTCTGGTCCAGCAGGGTGCTGCGCATGTGCACGTGCACCACACAGTCCTGCAGCGGACAGTCCATGGGGAAGTCGCCTGGAAGGGAGGGAGCAGTGAGCAGAGAACACTGAGCACGTGGAGTGGGGTCAGAGAGAGAGAGGGGAGGACGGGACAGTCCAAGGGAAAAATGTCTGTGAGTGTGGGGTTGCTGGGTCGAGCGCGTCGAGCGCGTCTCCATTGATCGAGCGGTGTTCTGAGATAGTCTCGATCAAGAGCGTTGAGGAAGGATGAGGGATGCTTCATCACTACGGATGCTTCATCACTACGGATGCTTCATCACTACGGATGCTTCATCACTACGGATGCTTCATCACTACGGATGCTTCATCACTACGGATGCTTCATCACTACGGATGCTTCATCACTACGGATGCTTCATCACTACGGATGCTTCATCACTACGGATGCTTCATCACTACGGATGCTTCATCACTACGGATGCTTCATCACTACGGATGCTTCATCACTACGGATGCTTCATCACTACGGATGCTTCATCACTACGGATGCTTCATCACTACGGATGCTTCATCACTACGGATGCTTCATCACTACGGATGCTTCATCACTACGGATGCTTCATCACTACGGATGCTTCATCACTACGGATGCTTCATCACTACGGATGCTTCATCACTACGGATGCTTCATCACTACGGATGCTTCATCACTACGGATGCTTCATCACTACGGATGCTTCATCACTACGGATGCTTCATCACTACGGATGCTTCATCACTACGGATGCTTCATCACTACGGATGCTTCATCACTACGGATGCTTCATCACTACGGATGCTTCATCACTACGGATGCTTCATCACTACGGATGCTTCATCACTACGGATGCTTCATCACTACGGATGCTTCATCACTACGGATGCTTCATCACTACGGATGCTTCATCACTACGGATGCTTCATCACTACGGATGCTTCATCACTACGGATGCTTCATCACTATGGATGCTTCATCACTATGGATGCTTCATCACTATGGATGCTTCATCACTATGGATGCTTCGGCCTCACCTCACCTGTCCCATCTTGAAGCCTTCTCTTAATAACTTTTAAATGTTTGTTTTTCGTTTTTTTTAGTCGACTAAAAAAAAGGGATGTGTCAACCTCACCTGTTCCATCTTGAAGCCTTCTCTTGATCACACACCCGTTGCCCAGCACGTCTCGCACCTGCATGCATGCACACACACGTGCAAACAAGCATGCAGATGTGCACAGACACATCACAAAACAGTATTTCTCAGCTCGCAGGCATGGTAATGTATTGCGCATCCCCCATTTTTTAAAGAGAATTCTTAAAAAACAGATTCAGCTTTTTGAGAATTCTAAAAAAACAAACTCAGCTCGCAGGCATGGTAATGCATTGCGCATCCCCTCCTCAACATTAACGTGCCTCACGTATTGGCGGCGCACAAACCACACCCATGGGAGCAATACGTGTTGGAATCGTTTTTAGAGTTCTCAGCTCAGCAGCAACTCCACTACAGCATAGGTGGCATACCACACAGAACCCCCTTACTATTGCTGAGGCGCCTTTTGAGGCGCCTCAAAAGTCCCTTACTATTGCTGAGGCGCCTTAAAAGTCCCTTACTATTGCTGAGGCGCCTTAAAAGTCCCTTACTATTGCTGAGGCGCCTTAAAAGTCCCTTACTATTGCTGAGGCGCCTTAAAAAAGCATAGGTGGCACACCGGAGAAACCCCTGCACCTGTACAATCTTCACCATCTTCACAGGGCGGCACTCACTCTCACTCTCACTCTCACTCTCACTCTCACTCTCACACTCGAATCAAAGTCACGGCCTCACCATGGTGAAGAGAATGAAGAGAACCGACTTATGTATCTCAACCTTCCCTCTCATTCTCCTTTACCACCCCTCCCCTCCCCCACCTTTATCACCATCATACCACCACCCCCCCACCCACCCCCCCTCCCCTTCCCCTCCCCCACCTATATAGTCTTCACCAGCTGCACATGATACTCCACGTCCGCCACCCCCTCTGGTGCAGGTGACATTTGAATGCACTCATACCCGCACCATCATACCCCCCCCCCCCCCCTTCCTCCCACCTGAACGGTCTTCACCAGCTGCACATGATACTCCACGTCCACTACCCGCACCTGCAGCGCTCGCGCATGAGTCGACTCACTAAATTCCCCTCATCCATATCATCCCAACCACCCATGTAACACAACCACCCCTCTCACCTCAACCATCAGTCCCACCTGTATAATATTCACCAGGTGCACATGACACTCCACATCCACCACGCCCTCTGCTGCAGGTAACATGCAAGTAAACACGAACCTCCCTGTACCACTACCACACCCCCTCTCTCCACCCTCCCCCCCACCTGCAGAATCTTCACCAGCGGCACATGACACTCCACATCCACCACGCCCTCTGGCGCAGGTGACCCTTGAGTCCTCGCACTCACCTGGATCATGAAACGCCATCACAACCCCCTCCCTCTCCCACCTGAACGATCTTCACCAGCTGCACATGATACTCCACATCCACCACCCCCTCTGGCACAGCCGACCTTCGAGTCAAGCTAATGGGAACGACGCAATAGAGTCCACGAATCTAAATCAACCATCCCTCTACCACCCCACTCGCACACACATCACCCAGAGTGCTCCCACCTGCACGATCTGCACCAGCTGCACATGATACCCTCTGGAGCAGGTGACGTATGAGTCACTCATCTATATCATCACATCACAGCCACACCTCTCATTCACCTCGCCCTTTACCCATCACCCCCTCCCACCTGTATAATCTTCACCAGCTGCACATGATACTCCACATCCACCACCCCCTCTGGTGGCGCCGGCACCACAACCACCGGAGCAGCGAGCCCGAGCCTCCCAGCCTCGACACTCCCAGCCTCAGCCTCGGCACTCCTAGCGTCAGGCTCGGCAGTTCCCGGAGCAGGGGCAATGGCAGGAGGAGGTGGAGGGAGAGGGGTGTCGGGCGCAGGGGGGATGGTGTGGGGGGCGGAGGCAAAGACGACTGCCTTCTCCCCTGAGAGCATGTGCGAGAGAGCGAGATCGAGAGCTGGCGGGAGCTGGGGGAACAAGGGGAGGGGAGGATGAAGGAAAAGCAGAGAGGTGAACAAGCGTACGAGGCACATGGGGGATGTGGGGGGAGGAGGCAAAGACGACGGCCTTCTCCCCTGCGAGTATGTGCGAGAGAGCGAGATCGAGTGCTGGGGGCAGCTGGGGAAACACGGGGAACAAGGGGAGGGGAGGGCCAAGGAAAGGCAGGGGGAAAGATGAGTGGGTGGGGCAAGGCATATGTGTCGGGGGGGAGGGAGGCATACGACATACGACCACCATTTCCCCTGTGTGCATGTGGGAGAGAGCGAGGTCCAGTGCTGGGGGGAGCTGGGGAAAGGGGAACAAGGGGAGGGGAGGATGAAAAGAACAGAGAGAGAGAGGGAAATGGACGGATGGAGCATATGAGGGACGGGTGTGGAGGGAGGAGGCAAAGACGACCACCTTTTCCCCTGCGACCATGTGAGAGAGAGCTAGATCGAATTCTGGGGGGAGCTGGGGCAAACAAGGGGAGGGAAGGAGCCTGTGCCTTCAACCTCCCTCCACCCTCCTCTCTCCCCACTCTTCTATCCCTATACCCTCTCCTGTCTCGTGACTTACCCACGCTGAGCCCAGAGCGAGGTGCAGGGGAGGGGAGGAGCCCGTGCCAGCCGCATAGAAGGGCGTTGAGGAGCCGAGAGGGCGAGCCTCCAGCCTGGCAGGCAGGGGGGAGGGGGCACATGGGGCAGACGGGGGAGATGCAAGACACATATGCCTTGCACATGCACAACGAATGTGCCTTGAACGGGCAGGGCAAGGCGAGGCGAGGCAAGGCGGTACCCACCTGATCTTGACTTCATAAGGCGGCCTCGGCTGCTCCCACCCTCTCCCCTCTTCAACCGTCTGATACAATCACAATCCGCAGGGGGCACACGCAATGCAATCACGGAACACAGGGTGGAATGTGCGCCATTGAATGGTACAGCGACGAGTGACAGCGGAGCGGCTCGAATCAAAGCTACACAGTCACATGATGCCATCGGTGAGGGAATGCCTGTCAACAAGCAGCAGCAACGGGAAGGTCAAGCATCTCATTCCCTCAAGACACAGCATCGGTGACGCACTGCCTCTCATGCTTCATGACTGTCAGGCTTCCATGACTTTCATTTGGTCACTACACTCCTCCCACCTCACCCTCCCTCTGAACCAGAAACCGCATTACTCACGCTCCCTCTGAACCAGAAACCGCTTTACTCACGCTCCCTCTGAACCAGAAACCGCATTACTCACCGCCTTGTTTTTGTATTGTGGCCTTTCCACGAGCCTCATTCCACGAGCCTCATTCCACGAGCCTCATTCTCCTTCGCCATGAGGCTCTTTCCCTCTGACCGCCACCCACCTGTTTCGTAATAAACCGCTCGCCTTCCTCATACCCCCACACGCGATCCAGACATAGCTCAGTGAGCTGCGTGCGTGCAGTAGGCTCAAGCAAAGGAAAAAACAGCAGTAGATTTCCGCTCTGACTGCCACCCACCTGTTTCGTAATAAACCGCTCGTCTTCCTCATACCCCCACACACGCGATCCTCCTCCTCTTCCTCCTCCTCGCCTCCCTCCTTCCTCCATGCAATGATAAACTTGTTCTGAGACGTCTCAAAACACACCCACCTGTTTCGATTTGAGGCGCCTCAAAACTAGACTCCCTCCTTTCTCCATGCAATGATAAACTTGTTCTGAGACGTCTCAAACACACCCACCTGTTTCGTGATAAACCGTTCGTCTTCCTCATACCCACACACAACATCCTCCTCTTCCGCCTCCTTCCCCTCCTCCCCTTCTCGCTCTGCACCACCCTCCTTCTTCTCTCGCTTCCCCGCCAGCACCCACACAGCAGCAGCAGATACCACCTCCACCTCCAGCTGCAGCTCCTCGTCTGCAGGCACGCCTGGGGGAGGCTTTATCTGGCAGGCAGGGTCGCTGTAGTGGGCTGAGGGCTCTGCTTTGAACTATGGGGAAGAGGACCGGGAAGGATGAGAAAGCAGAAGCAGGGAAGAAAGGGACGAAAGAATAAGGGGATAAGAGAGCAGGAGGAGGGAGGCATCAGCAGAGTTGCTGTGCTGTGGCACGCTCAAGGTATTCGGATTAAGTGACTTCCGAACTCTCATTGCCACCAACTTCCCTTCCCTTCCCACCCCCATGCTCTTGCTCTCACCACTGCCACCTCGCCCTCGCGCATGGTGCACAGCCCGTGCTCCAGTGCTGCCACCAGATACATTAGGACGCGGCACCTCTAGAAACATTGGCAGGATCGATCCTGCCAGAGATCGATCCAGGTCAAAATTGTATATGGCAGGATCGATCCAGGTCAAAATTGTATAGAATCCAAGAAACTCACCACCGTTTCTCCCTCATCCCTGCTCTTACCACTGCCACTTCCCCTTCCCGCATCGTGCACAGCCCATGCTCCAGTGCTGCCACCAGCCGGCTCTCCCCCACCACAACACGTCGCGGCCGCCCCGACCCTGCTCACATGGGCAGTCATGAGAGTTGATAAGTGGAAGTGGGCAAAGCAAGGGCAAAGAATGGGCGCGAAGTCATACCTTCAATCCCATGCCAGACCTCATACTCCTTGCACTGCCTAAAACCCCATGCCATACCTCACGCACACCTCACGCCGTACCTCCGTGTTCGGCTCGGGTGGAATCGCATATGTGGCCCGAAGCTGCACGGGTGGTGCAGTGGAAAACCACCTGGAGGGCGGTGGGGACACGACGAGGGATTGAAGAATTCATGATCAGGACGGGAGGGTGGTGGTGGTGTGGGGGGGAGAACGGGACGGAGGAAGCATAAGCTGCGCGAGTAGCGCAGTGGAAAACCACCTAGGGGCCGTCGGGGGAAGAAGGTTGGGAGGGAGAGTTGATGGGCGGGACTAGAGTGGTGGTGTGGGGAGGGGAAACGGGAGGGCAGAAGCATAAGCTGCGCGAATTACCGCCTTCGTCACACTAATATTTGAGGCGCCTCGATTGGAATCACCAGCTTCATCACTCCCGCCAGATGCTTCCTCACCTTACCTGGCGATCTCCCCTGTGATCTCCTTCGCGAATAACTAGTTCATGTTACCTGGTGACCGTCCTCCACCGGCAATCCCGATCCTTCGCGAATCACAGCCTTCATCACCCCCTTTAGCTCCTTCTTCACTTTCTCCTTCCCGCCTTTCTTCGTCGCGCCGCGTCTCCCCCTCCCGCCACCTCCGCTCGCCTCCATCGTGTCCCGAAGGTCGATTCAGTAACGCCTGCGATACTCGAATGGCTTTTGTGACGGGTCGTCGTCTAGGGACAATTTTGGTCGCGACGTTGACACAATTGGCGAATCTAGTCTCAGCCCTAATCGCGAGGCGTCAAATGTCAGATGGATTCTGTTAGCACGTCAGATTCGACGGCGACCAAGTCAATTTACTCTCAGCTTTATTTCAGATTCAGCGGTCTCCCATAGTTATTTACTCATTCCCAGCAGGCGCATCAGAAGCAAAGGCACTCGTAGAACCACGAGATTGTGTATTATTGCCAAAACAGACCAGGCTAAACCATGAATTGTGATGTGGAAACTAATTCCGTGGATCGTGGTCACTGGACACCCCGTCACTGACGGGAGCAAATCAAGATTCGGCAGCGTGAAGACGACAGCCAATCGTTGAGCAATCTGGGCGCGCGAAAATACAAGCAAAATGAAGCAAAGCAGGACGCTGACACCTCGAGAGTTTCGAGAATTTTAGAAGGTGACAAATATAAGAACCGCTTGCATTCTCGCTACAAGCAGGTTCGTGAATTTGGTGAGTTCTACACCTACCCAAACCATTTATCTGCATCTGTCTGCATTCTAGCTTTAAACCATGGAGGTTATGCTTTGCTGTGAGCTTTACACGTCCACTTGCAATATAAGGGACCATGCATGGCAAACAAAAAGCTAGGCAGAGCCAACTGGGTGATAACGGTGACAAGGCAGGGCAGGGCTGTTGGCTAGGCTGGCTAAATGATACCAGTCACCCTGCTTCGGCATCATGGACTGACAGCATCTCATCTCATTATCAGATGGAGCCATTTTCCAGCTTAGTAGAAGAAGCCGAGCACCTTGCCTCCCACGTTCTTCCGCCTGGCCTCATCGTGGTCCATGATGCCGCTCGACGTGGTGAGCACAATGTAACCAAACTGGTAACACGGGAAGGAAACACAACAACAGGGGCGTAAAGAGGTCAGCAAGGGCACAGAAACACAACCCAATGGAACGCGGAAGAACATCAGGCACAGACAAGCAACCAGGAACCTGTGACACCCACAGTGAGGCTCCCAACGTGTTCCAGCGCCAAACAATGCGGAATCACCCATAAAGACCCTTTCCATCTGTTACCCCTCCCACCCTGCATTTCACTGCCAGACAGCATTTTAGTTTCCATTTCCAACCTTCTCACCTCAACAGCATGGGAAACGCTTGACTTGCTGCTCACACTAGGCACACTAACCCCCCAAGTGAAAAACTCCTCTTAGACGCTAATCCTCCACTCCTCGGACGAGGGCTACACGCACTTATTCCCCCCACCCGCCCCCCCCCTTCTCCCCCCTTCTTTCCCCCCTCCTCTTCCATCTCCCTCCACTCGCCTCCTTCCCCCACAAACTGCTTATACTACTCAACACTTGTTGCATGCGCTCCATTATCAACGCATACACAACCGTACAGTCGTTACACTACCCCACTCAAGTTGCAATACCCACCTGACGGGAGGGCAGCAGGCGCTCGGTCCAGTTCTCAATATCGCCGACAGCGATATCGTAACGCGGGCTGATCACGCCGCACTTGTTCAGCCGTCCGTTCAGCTCCACGACAATCTTGCCCGCCCGCCTGTCGTCCACCAGCTCGAACTCGCCGATGTAACCTGGTAACCAGCATTGAGGGGCAAGGGGACAAGACGCACAGGAGAGGTAACGAAACATCATGTCTGGTAACTCCGCAAACACACGCACAAGAGTGGCTGAGAATCATAGGCTTCAGCACACCCAGCTCCGCATCTCCTTGCCAAAGTAACGAAGGATTCAACCAAGGCTGATTCCAAAACGACAGGCTTGGTCCTGTCAAAGAAAGTGACGAGGTTTAGGAACCGAGAGTGCGAAGCTTTGAAGATACCGACATGATCGCACGGCGATATTTGCGCGTCATGGGCTACGGGACCTACAAATGCTGTCTAAGCCTGGCGTGATCAAGCCTACCCTAACGAGCCAAACCCTAGAATAAGACCCTCAGAGCCTAACGAGCAGCTAATTCGAGGAAAGGGACTAACGAGATTGTGTCCTTGCTGCTGGATGGAAGATAAACGGCTCTGATCGGCTGTCCTTGATCGGCTTGGTACAACGGGCAACAAAGTCTTAGGCGCCTCAAAGATCGACTCGGAATAACGCCCCCCTCTGGTTTGTACGAAGAACCGCTTCCAGTCCAGACGAAGAACGTTACTACTTTGCTAATAAATATGAGAAATCTGATTCTCTGCCTTAGGTCCGACTACTCTGTTGAAGACTCGTCTCTCCTCTGAACATCGCATGCTAGCCGGCATAATGCCGCGCGGAGATGGTCACGAACACCGGGGACGAGGGACGACTGACTGCCTACAAGGCCTTTCGAGACGCCTCCAAAGAATGCCTACAAGGCCTCGCTCCTCGCCGGATGGAAACGTCTTGCTCAAACAAACATCGATACTGCGCAGCAGGTCGCTGTAGGAACGTTAGGTTTGAAGGCTTGATGAAGGAAAATAGACCGTGAGAAGCGGGAGACGAAAATCGCCGCACCTCGACAAAGGTATCGCAGAAAAAAACGAGCGAGCGCGCACGCACCGTGTCGCTGCATGACGAATTTTACAGAAGGAATATGCAAGCACGAGCAGCACGCAGGCACGCACGCACAAGCACGCACGCACCGTGTCGCTGCATGACAGTGAGGAACTTGATGATGACCTTGGAGCTGGGGCGGATCAGCACCTGCCGCTTCCCGCGCTTCTCCGCGTTGTACATGCTCTTGAGCGCATCGTTAAGAACGCTAATTCTGACCATCTTGACTAAATGGCTCCTTGTCTAAGCAAGGCAGGGAGAGGCAGGCGCGGCGCAAATGCGGCTCCTGAGGGACGAGGAAAGGAAGAGCAGGAAAGAGAGAAACTGAGCGGCGAGGAGGAAATATGAATTAGGGTTTGGGCGGGATTAGCAGCGAGAGGCAGGAGAAAGACGGGAAGCGGGGGGAGGAAGGTGGGGGATGGCGCGGGGAGATTGTGCGGGTCGGGGAGGGATGGCCCATGGGGAAGGGGGCAGGGCGCGGAGATAGGATGGGACCCGGAAGAGGAAAAGCCCCCACAGAGGTGAAACCACACAGCGCGATCGGACGGACCCTGTTTGATCTAGTCTATTTCGTACACCCTATTCTTTGAGTCGTCTCTACTGGTACGTGTGCAAATTTCAGCTCCATAAGTCACTTCAAAATTCTACATGAAGAAAAACTACTCTTCAGCAATTATTTAAGCTCACCTATGCTCCATCCAAAATGATACCTATCTTATACACCCCATCCTACAGTGCGCCTACCATTATTGCATTATTATAAATAAACAGTGAAGTGTATTGCTGAGCACATGGTTAAGCATCTCCATCAGCAGCAGCATCCGAATCTGCGTCCCCATACTGAGACCTCACCCAACCAACAAATGCGTTCAGGAACTCTACAAAAGTGCACACACCGTTGGAATCCCGGTCCATTTCCTCTGAAAAAAGAAGTGGAAAGTAAAAAAGGGAAACAAAAACACATTCATTAGTTGCTGCTGTATGGTGGAGCACAGAGCAAGATACTGGGACGCAAGGTTGGAGCAAGAACGTACGCATGCGCATGGAGATGTTCCGAAGAAGCGTGCCCTCCTTGAGAGTGTTGTGGCTGCTAAAACCCTTTTCAATCTCTGCCCGTGTGAGCTGCCCGTCATGGTCCTCGTCAAAATAAATGAACGCATCTACGATTATTTGAAAGGCAGCGTTAATGTCTCCTGTGCCAAGGCGTGGCTTCTGCTATAAGGAAAAGAGTGGTTGGAGAGGGGAGAGGGAAGGTAGGAGACAATGTCGGGTACAATATAGTCCAGAATAGAGGTTGCGTCAGGCAGAAAAAGGCCTGTTGTGGAGCGGTAGGAGATGGAAGAGAGTGGGAGCTCGTACATGGCATAAGAGAAGCAGGAGAAGCAGGTATATTGATAGGGGGTGGAGATGTTTGGACGAAAGATGGAACTGGCTATGGAGTGTACAGAACAAGCCATACAAGTACCTTAGAGTTTAAACCATACCCATGGCAATGACCCCAGCCCAACTAGTTGCTTGAAGACCATGCTAAGCATCTGGATGCATGCCACACATGCACACATACACCCACAGACCCACACATGCACACATACACCCACAAACCCACACATGCACACATGCACACACACATGCACACATACACTCACGCGTGCACACGTGCACACATGCACGCGTGCACACGTGCACACATACACCCACACGTGCACCCCACTCACTCTCTCACACATACATACGCACACAAACACACACACCTGATCACTATCAGCCGACTCGAGCAGGAACACAATCCCCAGGCACAGCACGAACGCATTGAAGCACACCACTGTTGCCTCCTCTGCTGGAACAGAGTCCGACCCTTCCCCATACGAAGTGTCCAACTCCGTCTGCTCGAAAATGGCCTTCAGCTCCTCTTCGCTCACTGTCACCTGCGAATAGCAGTGGAACCAGATCGAATCTTGTCAGTTTGAATCAGAAAACTGAGTCGGCACTGACTCTGACTCTTCACCATACGAAGTGGCCAACTCCGTCTGCTCGAACATGGCTTTCAGCTCCTCTTCGCTCACTGTCACCTGCGATTGACCGTGAGTGAACAGAGATTGATGGAAGTGTGAAACGAAAACGCATCAGAAATGTAGGTATGTATGCGGCATGCCACTGTCACTGCATACACTCTTTCGATCACTGCCATGCCATGGTGTCACCAGTCGTTCTTGATATGTCAGGGAAATTATGGACGCAAGGTTAATACACCATCTCACACACCACCTCTCACATACCTCACACACAATTCACGCACCACCATCAATTTCTGCAAGCACGAATCCATACTCCGGTCAGGCTGAAGGTGGCCGAAAGGCTTCTCACAGAAGAAGCTGAAATTAATGTGGAAGGCACTTAAAATGCAGGCTTCCCTGAGTCCAATTACAATGTACATCCACTCTTGACAGTTTCTGACAATCCTGACGGATGTGCCACTTTCTGTCACTTCTGACCGAACTGAACGCACCTCCAGCTGGGCGAGCGCGGTCTTCAGCTCGTCCAACGACATGCCTTCTTTGCCCTCGGGCACTGCACAACACGTGCATGCCATGCACGGCGATGGGTCCAAGACGACGGAGAGAACGGGGATGACGGGGATGAGGAAGATTAGGCAGATGCGGAAGGTGACAGAAGTTTAGAAAAGGAGGCGGAAGGAGAATAAGAACAGATAGAACAAAGAGGCGACCAGGGAGGACTCCTTCCTGGAAATCGCGGGAACGCGAGTGCACAAGGGCTGTTAAACTGCGTGGTTGCAATATATTGATTACAAATAAAATAATGTACAACCTTAGCGCATCGCCCAAGCGTCCATTTGCACGCACGCTGGACTTCTGAATGAACCTCACCCGCATTGTTCCCTACCTTCCTAGACTCGCATCGGAACATGCTGATTCAGCGGAACATGTGTGAAACCACGCGACGCCATGCGAAGCTAGTCTTCAGGTATTTTCAAAGACGAGAATTTTAACGGGCGCCTCAAAAGCGGAAAGCTTCAAGCCTCACGCGCCTGATGCGCCTGCTGCTCGTGATGCTCCTGACGCTTTAATTCGCCCAACGCGCTTGATGCGCTTACCGATTTTGTCGTACACTTCTCGGAGCATCTCCAGCCCCGCGTTGATCCTCGGGAACTTGAGCACGAACGCGTCGACTTAAAAGCACCATGCTGCTCAGAAGTCACGTTGATCCTGATGCTCACCGATTTTGTCATACACTTCTCGGAGCAGCTCGAGACCCGCGTTGATCCTCGGGAACTTGAGCACGAACGCGTCGAAGTTCTTCGGAACCTTCTTCACCGTCTTGTGTCTCGCCGCTAGCGCGTCCGTCATCCGCTTCTCCAGCCGCGCCGTCGATCGCGCGGAGTTCGACATGCTGACGTGGCCGCGCGTGTGTTCCGAACAGGATTCGTGGTCGTCGCGTCGCGTTGCGAGGGGTAAATTAAACGTGTCGAGCTGACTGGTTAAGCAGGGTGACGCTCTAAAAAAAATCTTATAGGATTATAAAAAAGGATGATCGGTCACACGTTCTCGAAAAGCGCGGGATCGAAACGTAATATATCGTTCAGCGCGCTGTAGGATTTTGTCCCGACTCGACCTCCCCTGATCAGCCAGTCAGTCAGTGCGTGCCAGCAGGCTAGCCAGTCCAGGTCCACCTGGTAATTCTTGTGCAGAGCGATAGTGCACGTCCAAAGTCACCTTTTACGCTGTCACCTAGCTTACACAGCAGAGCTATTTGGCATCGCACGCTTCGAAGCTCCTCGAAGTAGCACTGTAGCCGCGAAGCAGTTCTAGTTTCTACTCCACACGCAGCTGTTGTGGAGGAGATGATGGGATGGGAGACGATGAAGCTCTTCTTCGCTCCTGTTCCACTTCGTGCATCGAACAAGTGTGTACCTCGGGAATATACCTCCACAAGAGCAACCTGAGAAGGTCTGGTGAGATTATGTTCGGTTGAGGGCGTAGCGTATGGTTCTAGGACGGTAAGCTTCACAGAGGTCGAACTGACCTACTGTGGCCATGGCAAATTGCTATGGCGTGATACCGTCTTTCCTTTCTGCATGAAAGGTCTATATGCCGGAACTACTCTATTTCGGTAAGACTGGAATCGTCGGAAGAACCAATTCCGATGTGACAGTTTACGAATGTTTTCGTTACGGAAAGTTCGGTATAAGACACAAAATTTGCTTTGTCTCGCTTTCTGGGAAAGAAGGAACTCTTACGAAAGCTTTGTCAGGGTTCAAAGCGTAACCGAAGCTCATGCCCTGAAAACTCAGATGACGTCCTTCACTTGTCCTTTCCATCTTCGTCGACTGTAGATTGGTGCGTGGGAATTTGGGGGAGCACGCTACAGTGACGGCACACCATACTCGTTATTACCATAACGAAGATACGATGATGGCTTGTTCAAGCACGTCATGCACAGTGGGCCAGCCGTTCTTCTGTCATCTATGTGAAATATTACCTTGTGGGTTGCGGGTTTCCAGCTCCTACGTTTCATTTCATGTGCGTTCTTTGCGGTCTAATCCTCTTTATCACTGTTCTATGCGGTGAAGCGCAAATTTGACTGCTCGTGACAGACAGGTCACTGACAGATTTGATTGCTGGAAGCCCGAGAATTGCGGGACTTCAAAGCTGCTGACTTCATAACATAAGACGTGAAGGGGGGAGAAATCTACTGTCTCGCGCGTGGTTATATAGGCTCCGTGCGCCAATTCGTGTTCGAGTCGCGTACGCTGGTCATGTTGTAATTATGAATCTTCAGTTCGATGACCGACAGCCTGTCGCACTAGGCTATCGCTTATCACCACTGATGGTGACATTATCAGAACCATGATCCAAGCAGATTAATTAACCAACCGGATCATTCTAATCTGTTTTCGCTATGGCCAGCCGGATTCGCATGTTCCAAAGCCGCGAATCGGTTCGATTCAGGCATGTCGCAGCCAACGCAGTCAGCACAAGTCTCCTGCTCCAATGCATCTCCCTTTGGCTCCTAAGCGCGTCGAGCGCCGTATACGGACACAGATACGAGCGGGTACACGCGGCGCACAAGCGCCTGAGAGGCTCGGCAGCGTTGGATGGAGCAGCAGCGTTGGGGTGGCAGGTGGACGCTTCCCGCGTCGTGCAGATCTCCATCCAGCCCCGGTAGGTTGCTTCTTGATAGGTTGTAAGGTAGACCCTGGCAGAGATCGATGGAGCAGCAGCGTCCGAGGGGTGGCAGGTGGACGCTTCCCGCGTCGTGCAGATCTCCATCCAGCCCCGGTAGGTTGCTTCTTGATAGGTTGTAAGGTAGACCCTGGCAGAGATCGATGGAGCAGCAGCGTCCGAGGGGTGGCAGGTGGACGCTTCCCGCGTCGTGCAGATCTCCATCCAGCCCCGGTAGGTTGCTTCTTGATAGGTTGTAAGGTAGACCCTGGCAGAGATCGATGGAGCAGCAGCGTCCGAGGGGTGGCAGGTGGACGCTTCCCGCGTCGTGCAGATCTCCATCCAGCCCCGGTAGGTTGCTTCTTGATAGGTTGTAAGGTAGACCCTGGCAGAGATCGATGGAGCAGCAGCGTCCGAGGGGTGGCAGGTGGACGCTTCCCGTGTCGTGCAGATCTCCATCCAGCCCCGGCAGGTTGCTCCGTTCGGCCTCGGTAGGTTGTCAGTTTGACCCTTCCAGTGATCTATCAAGCAGCAGTGTTGGGGTGGCAGGTTGACCCTGCCAGGGTCGTGCAGACCTCCACACAACCTCGGTAGGCCTAGGTAGGTCCTTTCCCACCGCCTCCAAGTGTACTCGCATCTGAGATTTCGCTCCCTTTTTCCCTCGCCCGTCCCCCCTTCCCACAGCTTCCCCTTCTTCCCTTCCTTCCCCCACCCCCGGCAGCGCGTTCGTGTACCATGGGTTCCTCTCCCATGCGGAGTGTGATCACCTCGTTGCACTCGGTAGGTACTTGCATTTACGATTAAACTTTCTCTTCCTTCTTCTCTCAACCTCTTCCCCACCTTCCCTTCCCCTACCCCCGGCAGCGCGTTAGTGTACCATGGATTCCTCTCCCATGCGGAGTGCGATCACCTCATTGCACTGGGTAGGTGATTATTGAGTAGGCTCTTGAATTACCTTTTTCCCTCCCTCCTCCTCCCTCCCTCCTCCCTCCCTCCCCCCTCCCCCACCCTCGACAGGGCGTTCGTGTATCACGGATTCCTCTCCCATGCGGAGTGTGATCACCTTGTTGCACTGGTATGGCCTCCCTCCCTCCATCCCATTTCGCCCCCCCCCTCTTTCTCTCCCTCACACACACTCCCTCTCTGTCTCTCCCATGCGGAGTGTGATCACCTTGTTGCACTGGTATGGCCTCCCTGCCTCCCCTCTCGCCCCCCGTTACGTCTCCCCTTTCGTCCCCCCCTCTTCTCCCTCTCACATCCGCACAATACTAAATTTGCCCGTGTGGTACTGATTCACCCATGCACCCATGCTCCCATGCACCCATGCTCCCATGCACCCATGCTCCCATGCACCCATGCTTCCATGCACCCATGCACCCATGCACCCATGCACCCATGCACCCATGCTCCCATGCACCCATGCTCCCATGCTCCCATGCACCCATGCTCCCATGCTCCCATGCTCCCATGCACCCATGCTCCCATGCACCCATGCTCCCATGCTCCCATGCACCCATGCACCCATACACCCATGCTCCCATGCACCCATGCACCCATGCACCCATGCTCCCATGCACCCATGCTTTCATGCACCCATGCTCCCATGCACCCATGCTCCCATGCTCCCATGCTCCCGTGCACCCATGCTCCCATGCACCCATGCACCCATGCACCCATGCACCCATGCTCCCATGCACCCATGCACCCATGCTCCCATGCTCCCATGCACCCATGCACCCATGCTCCCATGCTCCCATGCACCCATGCTCCCATGCTCCCATGCTCCCATGCTCCCATGCTCCCATGCTCCCATGCTCCCATGCACCCATGCTCCCATGCACCCATGCACCCATGCACTCATGCTCCCATGCACCCATGCACCCATGCACCCATGCACCCATGCTCCCATGCACCCATGCACCCATGCTCCCATGCTCCCATGCACCCATGCACCCATGCTCCCATGCCCCCATGCTCCCATGCACCCATGCACCCATGCTCCCATGCTCCCATGCTCCCATGCACCCATGCACCCATGCTTCCATGCTCCCATGCTCCCATGCACCCATGCACCCATGCTTCCATGCTCCCATGCTCCCATGCACCCATGCTCCCATGCTCCCATGCACCCATGCACCCATGCTCCCATGCACCCATGTACCCATGCACCCATGCTTCCATGCACCCATGCTCCCATGCACCCATGCACCCATGCACCCATGCACCCATGCACTCATGCACCCATGCACCCATGCACCCATGCTCCCGTTCACCCATCCCACGCTATCCCCCCCTTCCATGCGCCTCTCCCTACATTTCTCCATACAGTTCCTTCCTGCACGCTGCCTTCCCCTCCCCGCCTCTCCCCGCTGGCCCCAGTCGCACCCGAAGCTGATCCGCCCAGCCACGCAAGCCACCCCACCTTTCGCCTGCGCAATGCTCGTTTTGCCTGTCTCTCTCCTGCGCGCTGCTTCCTCCTCCTCCGTCCCGCTTCCGTCACTAATCTGTCGCTCCTCCGTCGCTCCTCCATTGCTCCTCCATTGCTCCCCACCTCTCCCAGTCCCACCCCAAGCTGCTCAGGCCAGCAACACCACATATTTTCTGACTGCACGCTGCTTCCCTCCCCCTCCCCCTCCCCCCCCGCCTCCTGCGTCCTTCCCCGCTGCCCACAGTCCCACCCCAAGCTGCTCATGCCAGGCATGCTAGCCAACGGCACCTTTCTTCTGACGCCATAAGAAATCCTCCCTGCATGCTGCTTCCCTCCCCCTTCCCCCCCACTCCGCCCCCCTCCCGCGTCTCTCCCCACTGCCCTCAGTCCCAGCACAAGCTGCTCCGCCCAGGCATGCTAGCCAACGGCACCTTTCTCCGGAAATATCAGGTGAGCTGTGTGGTGTGGTCCGGTGCGCTGCGGTGTGGTGATGTGTGGTGCAGTGGTACCTTAATCGGTAAAAAAACCACTCAAACTGCTCTTCCCAGGCACACAAGCCAATGGCACCTTCCTCCAGAAATATGATGTGAGCTGTGCGGCGCTGTGCGGTGCGGTGAGGTGTGGTGTAACGTGGTGTGCAAGGCGAAAGGAGGGAATGCATGGTTGTGGGATATTATATGGGTGATATTCTGTTTTTTTTTATATATTAAACGAAAGAAAAAGGTACACTGCTCCAGGGAGGTGAACAAGTTAGGTTAAAAGGTACAGGTGGTTGTTGAGAGATGTAGGAAATATACTT